GTTCGTTTTCCTTTCCCCTTTCCTTTTCCGTTCTCTTTTCCCTCTTCATTCCTTTCCCTTTGCCCTTTCCTTGTCCTTTTCCTCTTCCGTTTTGTTTGCTTTTCCACGTTTGAGCTTTGTTCTTTTTGAGTTCAATTTGAGTCTTTTTTTGAGCGTGTCCCACTGGAATTTAAGGTTTAAAAAGTTTCCCTTTCCGTGTCCATTCCCTTTCCACTTCCTTTTCATGTGCCTTTTCCTTTTCCATGATCTGTATGCAAAAAACATTTTATAAATACAGATCCTGCAAGATTAAATGGCTAGGAGAAAATGGCTAGCCACCACGTACCCCTCCCATTAACCATTTAGTTAGGAGCCATGATAGCCATGATACACATTCGTTTGTATCCACCAACTCACTCAGCGTGGCTCGTGGCTCGTCAGAACTGCCGCGGCTCGTGCAATTCAGCTAGGTGGAGAAGGTGTTTTCAAACGCATTGAATCATGGATGTGGAACAAATAACATAGGAAAACAATGTTTCTCGACCAACCAACGTGTCATTTTTGCCGGTGATTAGCATGCTTTTGACTTCTTCCAGTGTACGAAAACAACAACAGTTGGAGAGACCCGAATCAGCGGATTCTACCTAGTTTTCGAGAGTCTTGGAGCGGCCATCAACGGACCTTCTTTCCCCCACCTACAGCTGCTCTCTAGATCGTTGGCTTTCGACTTGCCAGTTTGTCGCTGTTTGGGGTCGCCCATCTGCCAGAACCTTCCGTTCGGAGTCACCCAGAGAGTGTAGGTTACACTCAAAAAGCGGATTTTCATGGACAGCCCGGCTGCAGATCTCGATCTCTTCCCGTCCGCGAACAGCCCATCCCCGCGATCTCGAACGCCCGAGCTGCTCCCAAGTGATCCTCTTCAGTGACATCTTTCCGCTGCATGCCAGCCACCTGATGCGGAAAGGCGTCGAAGCATTGACATATTTGAGAATGGCTTTTCAAAGATGTGAGAATATGTGAATGATGTATATAATCTGAGTTCTTTGGTGTTCCTCTCAAACTCTCGTAGAAGCCCCCCTTCTTTTTGGAATGTGGGATTTTGAATTCAAGGGACCACCTTTGATGTTCTTCAAACGCGAAACATCATCATGTGCGGACAGACGATGATAGACGAGGCAAAACCTCAGTGCCCTACAGTCGACGTTTTTTCCGAGTTGGCTAACCCATGACAACAAAAGACATCTATGACACAAGCTCAACTATGGTGTTTGAGGGTCATAATCAACTTGGAGTAGAGAACAAACTCAGGTAGCTCCAGGATCTTCTATAGCATTGTGACACTTTGCTTGCAGTCTCATTTGCTTGCAGTGTGACACTTGCAGTCTATGATATCCTTCAATCTAGTATTTTATTTCGCTTGAAGCATGTTGGTTGACAATCAATGGCGGCAGCAGGATATGTTTGGTTAAACTTCAACCTTCTAATTCAACTTTCGTGGTAGGTACCATCTCAACCAAAACATCACCCCAGTCAATCACCGGAGGTGCACCTTCCTTGGAGAACACACACTCGAGCTCTGGGGCGCTTGGGCTGAAGTCTGGGGTCACAAAAAAAAACACACTTGTAAGAAGACACACAGCTCTCATCTATGCTGGACATTGTGGGATTGCCTTCCTTCAAACGAAGCAAAAAACACACACACACACAAACCGAGCTGGACCAATGGGTGACCACGCTGACGCAAGTCCATCTTTCTGAAACCGACTGTCCCATTGGGACCCAAACAACCTTCGTCCGAAAAGAATGAATGGCCCATCATGGCCCAACCTTCGAACGAAAACGTCTCCTTCAGTCACGAACGGCTCGAACCGCTCAACTTCAAGCCCCCCTCCTCTCTTAAGCCGCCACGACCGTCTCCGTCTCCCTCTCGCTCCGTTCTTCGCTCTGTCGCTTGTTCCGCCGCGCTGTCGCGCTGCCCCGAGGCGCCAGGACCAACTGATCAGCGTCGAAGGGCCAAAGCTCCAAGAGACGTCCCACCTCGGAGCGGACCGCGGAGCGGACCGCGGAGCGGAGCGGTGGGACCGGAGAAGTGGACAACGGGTGGACCTCGGTGACGGGTATGCGAATGGTGCTCGTTCTTGAGTACATGAAATCTATAGTGGTCACCAAATAAATAGTGGCATCTATATAATGACGGCGGTCTTACGGTCTTGTACAGTGTTTTTGATCTGGTTTTTCCGGATGATCTGAGGCTGAGCGAGCTAAAAAGGCTTCTTTTTGAGGAACACCTCGCTGTTCGTCGCTCGGTGCTACTTCCGCTCGGGGGGCGCGGACCGTCCCCGGGGGCGACGATGGGGGGATGCCCAGATGCTGAGACGCCCAGGGGCCCGGTGTTCCTATCTGTTCCTGTTCTGTAGACGGTCCTCCGAGAGGTTTTTTTTCCAGCAATGACTGACCAATGGTTGCAAAAGGTTGCAGACCATGTGCACATGTGAGATTCGTTTAAACGATACACACATGGCAAATCATATCGGCTCTCGCAGGATGCAATATGGAACGATTATCTTGTGAACAGCTGAGTCTAGAGATTCTCTACAGGTACCGTACAGTCTCCACTGGTTTATGACACCTTCAAGCACAGTGTTCCCAAAGTGCCAGGTCTGGCATCTCATGACCCAAACGCGCTGCGTGCGAAGACCCTGAACCCTAATTTCCGAATCTGATGGCAGCTGCAAACTTCACACCGCCTCCTCCCAACCTCTTTATTGCTCTCCCACTTCCACCAAAGGGCACGCGCTTGGAAAATATCCTTTGGAACGGAATCCATGCCCGGCGCGACAAAGAAAAAAACAGAGCGAGTTCTGCAATGATGTTTTGGAACAGGTACGACCCCCCAAACAGCTATGGGAGCTTTGATCTGGACGTTCTAGGATCTTCTTTCCTAAGCCAGGAAGATCACAAAAACGAGCTTGACACTTTTCTGCGACGATTTTTCCTATCTCAGGTGAAAAACATCTCATGGTTCAAAGCATGTGTTCGCAAAGGAAAAGTTCGAGGTTCTTGGTTTTCATCTATGGCCATAGTTAGAGCAGCTACATGAAAATCTTGACCGAAGAGTACAGCAGCTGCCTGTGCATTGGTGGTCGGAACCACTGGGCACTCTGTACTTGATGACCCACGACCTGATAACTAGCTTAGCTTCTGGAAGATCAGCGCTATTTCGGGCCCGGCCATGGTTCACAGTTCAAATGTTCAAATGATTCAAGTAGTGTCAGGACAATACTGTTGTTTTATGTTTTTTTTTAAATGCCCTGTTTGACGCAGGTCATTTGACCATTCAACTACCCCCTGATCACTTCTCAAAAGGGTGCTTCGACGCTCCAAACACCTCCGAGTTACAGACGTCGACAAAGGTTTCAGCCCTCCCCAAACCCCAAAAAGAAACCTCTTCCAGGAGTCACAAAGGTGTGCCAATTGGAGGATAGGGGTCTATCCACTCACTAGATGGGACTAAATACCACCCCAAGTCTTGTGACTCCTGCGTTCTCGTCTTGCATTGAAAAAACATGGTGCGTTCCCAGAAATTCAACCCAAAAGGACCGAGATTTCTTCGGCTGGACCAGCTGGGGTGGTTTACCACTCATGGGCAGACGGGCGCCGGTCTGGTCTGAACATCGAGGGAAGCTCTGACTGACTGGAAATTCCATGAGCACGTTGATCCATTATACAGTTGTACCAATCTCAAAGGTTCCATGTAAAATATGAGCCACATTCAGGTTGAATATCGGTGACCTACATGGAGGACCTGGGAAAAAAAAAAAAAAACACAGGACGGTATTCTCCTTGTCACCCCGAACACAGGAAACACGTCTACTTCTACCCTGACGCCCCTTATTTATGTTCAACCCAAATGACATTCTCCCACAGGAACCACCCCCACTGGTGTCTCCCCTGCGCATCTCTTCCCTTTTGCTGACTTTGTCCCGCTCGGGGCTCCTAGGTCGGGGACTTCCGACGAGGTACCATCACTGGCACTCGGAGCGGTCAGGAATAGAGGAGTGGTACAGGACTAACACCTTTGATTTGTTTGAACATATCAAACAGAAAGAGAGCACCCCTTTCAGTAGACGCGTCAATATACTTTCCCCGCTTTCAGTAGAAGCTCTGGGGGTCTTACTTTCCAAGTTGTTTCGATTTGGGCTCCAGTCACTCCAAACGCTGAAGCCGTTTACACCGGTATTGAGTTTTGAACATGAAACATGAAAAAATACAAGAGATGATGATTCCTAGATTGAAGACTTGCAACACGAAAAATGATCTGTTGACAACATCACCAAAGCCCAACATACAGTTGATGGTCAGCCTTGGATCTGTGGGTTGTATCCTGTCTGAATTGGTATTCTATCCGGAGCCCCCGGGGTAATTCATGGTCCTCTCCTAACCTTTTAACATGGGGAGACATCTCAAAGATCTAGAGGAACCGGCCCCCTACACTTTCAAACGCACAGCACTGGGACATGGACTGCAAAACGTCCCTTTTCCTCCCTTGAGAGCCCCAAGGTGATCGACCATGCTGATAAAACTCCTATAAAAGCACCATGAATTCTGTTGTCTTTCTATTCATTGGCGTCCTGGGTCCATATTGTGTTGGTGTCCGTCTCATTGGTGTTGGAAGAGCTGTTGTCAGGAGTGAACGTTAAGCAGGTGGCCAGCCTGGTGCAGCCTCTGAACCAGTCAGCCGAGGACTCATCGTCCAATCCCAGAGTCTGATCTGCAGTTCCCCAGAACCCCACGAACTGTGGGGCAACGGTCCCAACGAAGGCCCGAGGTAACGAAGGCCCTCACTGGTTTGTTCGTCAAAAAGGTGGTGTTTGGACCCGGACAAGAAAGAACGGACTGCAGAACTGTAGACTCGTAGGCCTTATACCAGAAACCAGGTACAGTGTCCTTCCGGAACTTCTGGTTGGTTGTCATCTGTCGAGACTACTCCCAACAACCTTTCTCCCCAAATCCTCAACTCCTCAACCGGCGAAGTCATCATCGTTGTCCTCTCCTGCAGCATCCACCAGCGTCCGTGACTCCGTGTCGACGGGATTCAAGACACTTCCCAGCAGGTTTAAAGAGAAATGAAAGGACATTAGATAGAATATGATACAGCTGCATATACAACTTGTCTATGTAAACATAGATGCAATTCATACAACTTTTCTAGTGCCCCCCCCCAAAGTCCAAATTGCTGATTGACCCTGCGCAACCTGCAGTCCTTTGGACCATACCCTTCGTCCGGATCCCGATCGTTCCAGGAGGTGTCCACCGTGTCGTGTCCAACTGAATCCACCGGATCAAGCGAGTCCGTGTCGTGGCCAGTTCCTACCTTCAACTCATGAGGTTCCTGATGGTTCCGAGAGAATCTGTTGTTTCTTTCAACCACTTTCTTGTGACAGAATCTGTCAAACGTGTTGGTTCAACGATGGATCACAAATCACACTTCCATAAACCCCAGTAGGTCAAACCTTCAACGATGATGGTCATTGAACACCTGAACAACCTGATGTGGAACCAAATCAACTGCCAACCCGTTTTGGGGTGACCAGAATCGACCCGATCTTTTGAACCTCAGAACGTGGACTGTTTGGAGTCGATGGTCCGACCAAACGTGTTGAGGTCGGACACATCGAGGTCGGACATTGATGGTTCCACAGCTGTCCACCTACTGGATCGTGCCAGATCCAACGATCTACGAGGTAAGCAGCAAAAACGATCTGAACAAAACATTCCAAGACGTGAACATTTTGTTGGGAAGGATTGGCTCACGTTTGTGTCTTCTGTTTTGAGGATCAAAACCAACAAACATAAACCCTGGCTCGTTAGATCGATTGATTTGCTGAGGTCATAGCATGGTTCACCATGACAGTGTTCACCAACTTCACCCTGTTCAAATCAGTCAGGCAAGGTCCAAAAATACAACCCTCCCAGATGTAGCAACATTGAAATCTATTTGGACCTATTTGGCCCGGAAAACTCTTGACCAGGTGCAGGGCCCACCTAAAAACGCAAAGTTTTCCAAAACCTCCCTGATTCTGAGATACCTGGTCCCTATAGGGTCCCAAAAGGGGGTTCTGGATGGCACTATCTCGGCCTGAAGCGATGGAACCCCTGCTTCGACTTTGTTGCGAACTCGAACCATGGGTGTTTGCTTGACATTGCCATATTCAATTAAACAAAAAATATACTGCAAATCCAGTCCACCAACAATTTTCTTAGGGCAATGCATGGCCCACTCGCATTGCAAGACTTACCAGAGTCCTTCAACGACTTGCGACTTGCCCAGGTGCCTTCTTCAACGACTTCCTCCAAGAGGCGTCCCACTTGAGGAGACTCCAAGAGCATCCAACCATCCACCTCCTGCACAGCTCGCTCGGGTGGAGCCTCCACACCTCCAAACTCCATCCACTGGGTGCACAAGTGTAAACGCTAACATGTGACACCGTTCTTGATTTGTTCTGCCTTCAACACCGGTTCATCCGGAATTGTCACCCTCAAACGGAAGACAACAAGACAAAGAGAGAGAGAGAGAGAGACACAAAGAGTGAGAAAGGAAAAGGAAGACGAAGAAAGAGAGAGGAAGAGAGAGAGAGAGAGAGAAGAGAGAAGAGAGAAAAAGAGAGAGAGAGAGTCAGAAAGAAACTTAGAATGAACAAAAAACAAAAGAAAAGAGAGAGAGAGAGAGAGGGAGAGAGAGAGAGAGAGTCACCTGTCCAGAAGATGCCACGGAAATAGTGTGGCACCAGCTTTGCTGCTTTGCAATCTGTTCTTGCTAGCTGAGTCTCTTTCAATGTCTGTTCTGTCACGCTGACCGCCTAAAGACGAAAACCTGGGAAGGGGGAAACGAAAGCCAGGAGGCTGATTGTTCTCAGTCACCTTGAATCATCTGCATCACCAACCCAACCCCCTACAAATCATATATACCGTTGAAAAATAAAACAACTTTTCACCGACTGTCCCCCCCCACACCCCCTAAAGACTTAAAGACTCACTTTGTTCGCATAAACTAACTTCTGCCTAGCCTATCTACTATCTATCGACTGGCTTTCGAAATAACTTCAGCCTAGCCTATCGGCTGGCGTTCGTGATTTTGACTTGAGATTAGAAATCAACAAGAGAGAAGCATCGGACTCCAAAATCAGAGCCATCTCTGAGGTTGCCTGAGGCAACCTTTCATGATCAGCAGCCACCAATAAGATCGATAAGAACCGTCTCAAGGGAGGGTGCTGATATGTGTTGATACGTGTTGATGCACAATACGAAGATCTTGCAACCCTTCTTTATTGATTAATTCCTATATTGACTATACTATATCATAATCTGATATGTCAGGATTGCACGTATAACAGGGTCAATTTTCGTTAGTTCTGACATCCCATCCAACTCCCCCTCACCCATCATCGTCCTCCACGGATGCCACCACCCATCCGTCCCCCGTCCTGCATGCCGCCGCCGTCGGCCACGTCTCGGATCGCCAGAATGCGGATCCGCCGCCAGGCGTGGGTCTCGTCCCAGTCGTACATCTCAACGAGCCTGAGTCCGTCGGATCCCGATCGATCCGGATCCAAAGGGATCTCTCCACCGGTCGAAAATGGTCGGAAAAAGTGGGGCGGGGTCCGTCAGTATGGGGGCAAGTATTGCCAAGTATAGGGCATAGGCCGGGCATAGGGTTTTAGAGTATGGATACGCTAGTAGGAATAGTTGGATCTATGAGTTTGGGGGGATCGGCAGCCATGACAAGCTGCCCACCCAAACCTGCTTCGACCCGACAGAGATCGGGACCAAGGCCTTCCAAATCCACCGCTCCCTTGCTGCTCAGGAGCTCTCCCTGCGGCAACTGTCGGATGGCCTCCGCTTTCGTGTCCGGCCAACGGCGGACCGCCACCTGCACCGGGGCAAAACACACCTGCTGAAAAAGATCTGATATAGTATGCGACCAGGCCGTTCAGTGCCGTCATAATCTGTGGACACTTAAAGCTTGGTACTTAGCACCTTGGTCGTCAAGTCTTTCTTGCATGGTCGTTGCCATATGAGTAAAGGTCCGCCAGGCTGGGGCTCACCAAATCAATGCAGCTACGAAAATGCAGATCTTCCAAAACCGAAAGGGTGAGAAGTCCCTGATGATCGTCACATGCTTTGGTCAAACTTGCTTAGAAATACGGCCAGTTTCCCCTGAGAATTGGACATAATTGGAACTCCAACAGCTCTCACTCCTCCAGCAAAACAGGTAATATCATACATATTATACCGAAAAAACCGGTGAACTGCCTTACCAGCATATGCCCCCGTCTTCCATTCTCGCCTTCTTGTAGATCACTCGGTACCTGGTGCCCTGGACGTGCGGGACCTCCTGGACGTCCTGCGGAACGCCCGGCCCGGTGGAGCAAAGAATCCGTAACTCCGGAGCTTGGTCGAACAGGTGCCTTTCAGCGAACGTGAGCGAAGGTGTGACTCGGAGGCTCAGACGTCTGGCCCATTTGGTAGAATCACCACATAAAAAAATGATAAGCAAGTATAAGAAGAATGTCTGGCACCATGCCTCAAAAGCGTCAAATTTGATACATCAGAACAGTATGGATGGATGGAATCATTAAACACTAAGCAAACAAAAATGACACAACACATTGCAAAAGGAGAAAACAAACAATTTAAAGATCAATCCTTAATCTGAAAAAAAACGGATAATATGTTGGAGGCTCCGTCTCTCATGGCGCCAAAAGCGCCGAAAAACACCACAGCCCTGAATGAGCCGATGCCTCTTGAAACATCGTGAAGGTAATTCATGACAAAGTAATATCATGTAGACATGTAGCGTCCTTGCTTCTAGTAGCGATGCCCTTTCCTCCTAGTAGCTTCTTGCTCCTAGTAATATGGCCAGGAGCCCCTAGTAGCGTCCTTGCTCCTACTAAAGCTTGAAACAACCATTGACATCTTTTCTTGGTCCCAATCCATGGACACGTTTCTTGGTCATCTCAGACTCCTGACCACATTTGGCACATGACCTCAATTGATCTCTTCCAAACGCCGCACCTGTCACCCGCAGCATGTCCACCGGCGCACACATTCCCTGGTGATGTCCTCTGGCTCTGGATGGTGCTCCTCGTCGCCGCCCTGGCAGAGCATGAGTGAAGTGATTCGATTCTAGTCGTCTCCCACCAAAACTTCCAAGTGCCCTTTGGAGGATTTGAAGGCCTTTTTTGACCACCAAAAGTTCCCCTTACAAAGCCTATAGTCCTATAGGCTTTAATTTGACAGAACCTTGTCCCCAAAAAAGTGGTCGATGTTTGTCCTCTGACCATGCAGGTGTTGTGGGCCAAAATGCAGGTACGCTGCAAAATGTTGGGTGTAGGAGTTGCACCCGCAGTTTGTTAGGTATGGCTCCACAAATCAGCGCGTCTCAACAAAAGTGATACAACATGTTGACAAACTGTCAATCCTCATCCGGTCACAAAAGTTCTGCAACGACATGGAGACAGAAGTGTGTTATTTTCTACACGGTAGCAAGCAGCAATCGAAGTACACCACACGTGAAACCAACAATTGACAATTAGGGGGTTCTCGGCAAGAAGTCTCCACCTCCGGGCAAAAGGAGGTGCTGGTGTGGAGTGTGGAGCAAAAGGTTGAGATCAGCCCTCTGAGAGACCTCTCAACCTCACCACAAGACTTCAAACCACACACAAATTCCTTTGAACCATTGTGACAGCTCGCAGATACTGCTTGATATGGAAGGATCAGTAATTACACAAGCAAGTGGTGCCCAAAGAGTCTCCCAATCCAGCTGCGGCATGTCTGTGTCCGAGAAAGATCAGGGCAAGCTTCGAGGAGCTCAGGGATGAGCACAAACTTCAGCACACAGGTGGTTGCCGCGCTCAGGGATCGCCTGAGCTTCCTGGGCCAAAGTCCGGAAGTCGGCCACCAAAGAAGCCACAGCGCTAGGGCCGCTAGGATTGGCAAATGTTGGCAAGGCCACAATTGAAGACACGCTTTCGATCCGGATCTGCGTCGACTGTGACCAAGTCGTGTTGCGAACTCAACCCTTCGATCCCAATCCCTCCAAAATGACCTGTCCAGAGTCAGCTGCAAAGGCCTGATACACACAAAGGAGTGTCCCTCACCTTGCACTTGTTGAGGAAACCTTATTCAAGGTCCAGCTCAGCTGACCTCACGTTTGTCGGTCTACGCGCTCATCTCCGCATGGCTTCCTTTACAGGCGAACCGGGAAAGCTCATCGGATGCCAATGCACGGCCAGCAGCCTGATCGGAAGGCAGGAGAGCGTTGCCTGCTTCATCAGCCCGGCATCAGCTTCTGCTCATGGCGTGAGCAAGCCACACATGATGGGAAGTATGATGGGACCTGTTCTTCAAACGAAAGGAGGCCCGAGCTCCGAGTTCGGAACACGTTCCGGTCCGAAAAAGGCGGCGCCTTCGAGGCCATTGACCGCTCCTTCCAGGCCTTTGAGGGGCAGCCGCACGGCTGGCAGCCGAAGAGGGCGTGGGTGCACGCTGTTGGTTGCGATGAAAGGTGGCCAGCAGCGAAATTTGAAGTCTTCGACAGCGGGTTTGCTGCAAAGGGGTTGAAAGGCACACGTGAGCACGAATGAATCAAGTCAAAGAACTTGAAATTGAATCCAGAGTTTGGGATGTTATCCACACGTATCCACACCTGAGATGGGTCTCCCTAAAGATGGGCCGAGGTTTGTTCAGCTTCCTACTAGGCCTGCGCATACCGAGGCTGCTGATCTGCTAATCTTCTCATCCTCGAGTTCTCTTTTAAGCTCTATGGGCAAGGCGGGTGTCAAAAGGTGAGCAGACTTGTGGTAGACGGCCGGCTGCAAAAAGAATAACACTCTTCTCAGCAGCAACAAACATCACCCAGAAAAAAACTGGTCCCTGAATTCCCACGTGTTCTTGTGAAAATGATGGTTCTATAGATCCACTGTCTGTGTAGGAGGCACCCATCCCCTGCTACCCCTTCCCCACACCTCAGCCGCCCATCGCATTGCTGCGGCCAATGCTGACTCATCCAGCCTAGGCGCCAGACGTGGAAGGCGCGCCAGACTCCCAAGCAAGCTCACACGCACGCGCATCTCATCAGGGAGGTCATAGATTGGCCTACTGAAGGCCTACTGAAACAGGAAATCATTGCTGAGATGGAGTGAGTGCACCAACCAACTCTTTGCAAAATTTGTGCATCGCAGGACGTGCCCGGAGTTCCTTCACGATGTGCCCAAAATCACCCAGTGAAGACTTCTAACGTGAACAAAAAAGCGTACAAGTTCTACAAGGGAATGTTGGATGAGGTCGGTTCTCACCCGCGCGAGAATTTGGGTCTCTCCTCATGTGTCCTCCTCTCCGTGGATCGCCCCATATTGCCCAGCAATCCAAACACTTGCATTGCTCAATCTGCCTACACCAGTCACTTGAATATCCTGCACAGATTTCAGGAAAGCAAAAACATGAATTTAGCATAGACGTTTGCAACAAACTACATGAGAACTCGGCTTGCAGGGAACCCTCATGAGTTCAGCAACAGCTTCGCATTGACTCAGCCACCAGTTCTTTTTGTGAATCACTTCTCATCAGTGGCGGTCGTAGGAACACCTATCTGAAGATTTGACAACTGGCAACATCTTTCGGCCCCGACCATCTTGGAATGGAAAATGACGGAACAGGTTGTCTAATTTCAATCTTATTTACGATGAATGTTTGCCCAACGGATGCAGCTCAAGAGAAAAAACAGCACATATAGAGCACGTGCAAACATGTTGAAGGCAAACCGTTTCGTTTATTGATCAATGCAAGAGTCCGGCAGCAAAAGGAAATCCTGCTGAAGGATAGGATGAGACAAAGGTTGTAAATATTCCAGAGGTTCTGTTGTGTTGCTCCTGTCCAAACCAGGACTGCACTATGGTACACCCGGTCACACCCTGTTACCCCTTAAAACTGGAAGACCCATGTGACATGTGGTAGTCTCTTGGCAATTTGATGCAGCTCACCCACGTGAACATCACTTGCATCTCCAAGCAACTTGGCCTCGCTCTCCGCATTCTCCACCGGACCAGCTGCTGGTTTTGCCACGACCCCGGGACCCGGCGCTGGTCGCCGCACTGCCTCGAAGGGGGGTTGATGGGCAGGAAGGCTTGCAAGTCTGGAAGTTGCCAATGGCCAAAGGTAGGTGTATAATTTAAGTTTGGGTTGAGTCCTGAGATGGGAATTTGAGATGATTTGATGCAAACAAGCCGTCATCATTTCTCCATACCGGGTGAATCTCTCAGTGTCTCTCAAAGGCGAAGAAACTCACCCAAATCAAATCGATTAACACATAGAGCAACTCTACGAATAGACTAGCTGAGAAAATTTAGTTTCATGATTGCACCAAGGTGTGCTATCAGGCCCTGGGTCTATGACCAAGCAAGATCGAACAGGTCATGCTCTGGTACAGCAGTTCCTTTTTTTCTCAGAGTCGGAAACACAAAAACACATGCTCTTCTCGTCATGGCCCATGGCACTTGCCACTGGGGTCTGAACAAAAGGAACACACGAACGGTGGCACACACCAGAGAAGTGAGTCGTACACCTTCGTTTGGGTCTTCGGGCATCCCTCAAAGCCAATTGCGCACTTGTTTGTGTTGCTTTGTCTGGTTCATCTCTGGGGGAGTCCACAGGGTTTGCCGGGCCAAAACCACAAAGAATGGACCTTGCAGTGCCAAAAAACACCTAACAACAAAAATGGCAAAACACTTAACAACAACTTCAATAGCAATCATGTCTTTTGAATTGCGGGAGACCATTGTGTTTGTCCAGAAAAAGCCCCAACCTCTCAGCTGTTCTCAGGTGAACCACGGTGAAGCCCCTGGTGTTTTGAGGGCGAAATAGGAATGCCCCATATTGAAAGAAAATATAATTGTTATATGTTTTTGTTTTTGTTTTTAATGCCGTATAAATGTCATGGACCCTGAAAATAGACTTTGGAAGAATGCCTCAGTCTACAAAGCTGTGCTTGGCATGTGCGTGTTCCTCTCTTCCTCTCCAAGAATTGAATCAAGGCCAATCGAGCTCTCTTTCCTTTCCCTCTTACAGGTTAGGTCATGTTCAGTAGTTGGGGCTCCGTAGTGCTACGCAGCTGCAACTGTAGTCTCCAGTTTTCCAGTGCAGTGCATTTAGGCTAAAGGCCTAAAGGTTGCGGCAAAAACCCTGGCCCTGCACATACACTTGTCAAAGAAACAATCTTAAACCATGTTCCTCCACCAACTCCTTTCACACATGCCTTTCACACATCAGCTGAACACATCTTGCCCTCCAAAACGGACCACTCCAGTCCGCCTTAAACGGCGCGACCGGCACTTTCGAAGAGCTTCCCCAGAAATAGTCGAAGCTCTCCTGCCGCTCGCTGTACGTCGGTCGTTCGGACTCCGGACCCGAAGGGAAGGAACAGGTGTCACCCGGTCCAAGGCGACGGAGTTGGTGTCACTCTGACTTCATCCACCACTGGAGCTGACTGAACTTGTGAACTAACCACTAAACAAACTCGTGGAGGCCCTGCCACGAAGATTTGACACAATGTGTTTTGTCCTTTTTATGTCCATGCCCACTTCCAGTTGAACAGATCTTAGTTTAGTGATGTTTACGGGAGCATACCGTACACACAGGAAACATATCCACTGAGCACATTCTGCTGTTGGATCTCCTCCTTGGAAGAGGGTTGCAGCATCTGGATAATCTTCTTCTCAGCTTCTTCTTGGGCTCCTGCCAAGAGCAGGTTGGTCATGAGATGCAAGAACTCAATCTTCAGAGGATATTGAAGGATCCGGTCATTCATGGACACAGGGTCGTCCTGCAAAGAGACGTAAGGATGAATTCAGGGATGTTCAGTTTGGGGGATCGTTTGTGGCATGTTGAGAAGGAGGTCTGAGGTTTTTGATTTATATTCCAATCATTCAAGAGCTCCACTGGGCCTTAAATGCAAAGGTGACGACCAAGCTGCAAGGTGATTTGCTGCAAGCCCTATTTGGGTTGCACAGCAAAACTCAAGTGTCCTTCACGTCTCAGTGTTGCAGAAGCCTACTCTTGATTTACGTTCGTAAGGAGTCTTGAAGGACCTCCACCCCCTCGTTGAACCAGCAAATACACATGTCAACGCTACACCTCATCAATCATCAACCAGCCGCCTCTACGTTTGAGCTTGCTGCTCCATCTATTTGTCTAGCTCTCTCTCTCTCTCTCTCGTTCTCTCTTTCTCTTGTGTTGTTCGTGAGGGTCCCGTGTAGCTCCAAATGTGCTGGTGGTTGGAGTGGATCGAAAAGCTCGGCATCCGACAAGTTGACAGGCATCAAGTGGTTCAAAAGACTTGTCATTGAATCACTACAATGACAATGAATCAAGTTAAAAGAGTTCATTGGATTCAATAGGCCAACGAACTTGAACCGCCAGAGGGGCGCCCCAGAGTTGTTTTCCATCGGACTGGCGCCAATGCCCAAGGACGCCGTTCCATCCATCCGAAGGTTTCATGTAACGGGCAGAAGGGGAACAAAGCATCAAGCATGTTGCCTTGTTGTTTCTTGGACCATCATGTTCTCCTACGAATGCACTTCCAGGTGAAACAAAAACACTAATACGTGCCTGGAAACCGCACCAAGGTGTTATCCTGCCTCAAGAAGGCAATGCCTGTGAGTCACTCCTGCAGAGTTCTCTTCCGTAGAATCTTCAATCTCGGATACTGCTTCCAAAAGCAAGCCCATCTCGGGATGATGCACCATCACCCAGCCATCTTTCTTCATCACCTAGCAGCTAGCAGCTTCGGCAGACTTCTGGGAGGGCACCTTCACCAACTAACACCGAAGAAGACCAGGTGACTTGGGGAAGGCAAGGCAATACTACCATAGCACATGTGCCTTTGGTGAGGGGCAAACCGAGCTTCCAAACATTGAAACTGCCCCATGTTGCAACCACCAGCGCCAAACTGAGATGAAATTGCCAAATCTTGTGACAAATGTGCAATCTTGAGCATAATTAGTTCGTTTTCGCTTGTTCTGAATGCAAACATTTGGATCTACCTCCAGGTCCATCCAAATGATGAGTTGGCTTTCTGGGTCTCAAAAACCGGGACCGAGGGAACTGCAGTAGCTTGGATCATTCGTGGTCAACCTTCAGCCTGAAGCGATTCTCTTGTCTCGGAAGACGCTTCTGGTTAAAGAACACCACGGTTTGATGGAATTTGCATGTGTTTTGTTCATAGCACAGTTACCACATGTTGCCAACTTCAAGCTGTAAAGCCATCTTGTGCTCTTCTTCTAGGTGGTGCAAGTGGGATGTTTTCTCAGCTTTAGGGTAGTGCACAACAATCCATGCCATGCCCTCAACAAAAATCAATGAAGTATAGTGAAGTTATTCAAATTCCTTGAAAGGTGGGAATACCCACAGGTTGGTGCCACCTCTGAGATTTGACTTCTGAGATTTGACAACACATCCATCATCCTCTATCCAAAGAACCCCCACCCCAACATCAGACACGTTCACTGCTTGAACCAATTCGGCCTTTTCGCAAAAACGCCCAGTTCTCCTCACGCCGGCCACGATCCACGCGCTGCCAAAGCACCAAGTCGTCATCGGAGTCCACAACCTCCACTTTCTTCGATCGATCTACCCAACCTCATTTCGAGGCCGTTGCGGCGTCGGCGAGCGTCAATATAGAGTATGTTTGACTATTTCCGCAGTTGACCCCTTCAGTTGTACCAGAAAATAGAGGTTAACTCACGATTTCCTATTCTATCTGCAGTCCAAAGTCCTGACGCTGGTAGCCCCCGTTGACTCTGTCGAATCAGATTTGGTTAATTTCAACTTATTAACGATTGGGGAACCTAATCTACTGTGACCGGCTAGGCCCCTGGACCACGGTCATTGGGTCTCTCCCACCTGAGGACGTGGGTTGGGTCTCCTCCACCTCAGTATAGTGGCCCCGCAAAAAGAGAGAGAGCGAGAGAGAGAGAGAGAGCGCCGGGGGATCTGCACCAAAAAAGGGTGTGTTGAAGAGAAATGAAGAACACCCAAACAAATAGACGACCCCATGTAAACCACATGTAAACGGTTCAAAGTCTTCTAAAACGATCAACATTCAATCATCTACCCTCCTCACATCTTAATCTCCCAGCAGCATCGTTTCTCGTTGTCCCAGTGAGGAGCCTCTGTCGCCCACCTGCCCCAACATGCGCTTCCCAGGCGGCTTCGGACGCCCAACGAGGGTGTCAAGGGTGTCAAGGGTGGAATGCCCTGTCGCATGTTATTGCTCAAATACTCCATGTATGGAACATAACGAAAGATTTGCTTATATAATTACATTGACCCCTAATGCTACCCCAATGTTAGCAAAAATGTCCTAAATGGAGTGTCTGGGTTATGATGTTTAGGTTTCAATATGAGTGGAGTTCTTTCCTTTCCCAACGACCGGATTGGTCCACGTTCTTTCCGTCCAGTTCCTTTCTCTGCACTTCTTCAAAATGGACACATCCTGAAAGAACAAGCAAATCAAAGGAAACCTCAGACTCCCAACCGCATGATCAGCGGACGAAACCCATGCCGTCGAAACCACCCACGCGCACGCAAACACGCACGGGTCGCAGTGGGATGGCCCTTCGATTCCTTGGGAGCTGAAAATGGTCACTGTCTGTGCAGGACTCCTTTTTCGGCATGACCAATGGGCTACTCTAAGCTACGACATCACTTTGGATCGTCCAGGTAATTATATATGGATTCACTCCATCGCAACCCCAAGTGGCCAAAAATTATAGTAAAACACTAAAACAACCTTCTGTCCACTGTCCAGCACAAGCTCCTATACATATATCACCTGAAAGATTATATAAAACTATCCACAAAAAGAGTCTCACAACCATGAGGGCAGAGAAGGTTGAATGTCACGCGATTCCAGGCTTGACTGGCGACAACCTCAAACCTGTGCCAAAATTTTCTTCAAGATTTTCCCTCCACTGGAAGAGGAAAAAGAACTTAGACATCTTAGACTGCATAACTGCATAAAGCAACCCCCAACCGCCAAAACCTCGTTCCCTGCTGGCATGCCTTCCCTGCAATAAACATAAAAACAGACTGCGTAGCAATGGATTCTGACTTCCAGATTTGAAGGGGTCAGTTGATTGGCAATCACATCGAAGAAAACCTCTCAATAGGAATTCCTGGCCCAAATCCCCTAAGACTCTTTTTTGCCAGTCCCTGCATAAACCACCACTTGTGAAGACTGAGCGCTGCATGCCTTGACGGCAATGTAATTCTCCTGGTTGTGACACATCTCGTCACCAACCGTGTCAGTTGCCTGCTGCCCACGCTGATCCGGCAGCTGCCTGCGCTGAGCTTCTGATAGCCGCGGTTTGGGCTTCTTCTCCACATCAGATGCACAGTCCTCAGCACCAGGCCTGTACTGTGATGTGATGGGTGATTGAGGTAGCAACTTGCGAAGGTTTTGCTATTGAATATTGACATTGTGTGTGTGTTTTGTTTGGTTTTTTTTAAACATCGATCTGCAACAAGGAATTCAAGCACAAGTGCGATCATTTGCCAAACATGAGGCTTCATGTCGATTTCACCTGGTTGGCAAATCATGCTGCAGCTGAACCTCTTGGGATTTAGAACCCTTCCAAGCTCAGTGCTGGTGGTGAGAAGCGCGGACTTAGTATGCAATGGATTTGTAGGGCACCAAAAGCACACTCCCATTGGATCCTGGAGCTGCAGGAAGCCATATAAGTAAATTTAAAAATCCATATACCAGTGGAGGTCTTGGGGCACTCCAGTGGGTTGTGACCATTGTGATCCTCCGCTTTCTGGTTGTAGCGAGGTAGCTGGGCCCCGTTGAATCCGAGGAACAGTGAGGGAGGGAGTGTCTGGACTGCCTGTCTCAATGTGAGAGAGTCCTAGGCAATGAATTGGCCTCTAACTTAGAAGCAATGGCCTCCAACCTAATAGCAACGGCCTCCAACCTAGGCTACTTGTTTTTCTTAAATTTGGTGTCCTTTTCGCACTATGTATTAGCTTGATCGAGCACGTTGATAAAATCAATGTGATAGGCGATCGATATGAACGGGTAACCAAGCGGCCCATGAACTTGTAGAAAAACACATGTCTGGTGCACGGTCTGGAAGGTCTTTCCACAGTCACCTCACAACCTCCACATGTGCAACCAAGCTTTTGCACCTCATCATAGTGCCCAAGATCCCCCCAAAACCATGTATACAATAGTGTGTATGTAATATACAGTATATATAGACTTCCCTCTCGGAGACCTTTTTAGATTTCCCTCCAACAAGATCCCTCAGCTTCGTCACATCTCGTCGGACCCATCGCCCAGACTCCACGGAGACTCTTCGCCAGCCTCAGGCCGTAGAAGGAGGTGCTCCCGCCAGTGGTGTTACATCCAGCGGAGCTTGGAGGATGTTTGCACCAACATCTACCAGCGAAGACAGACATGGAGCCAAATATGGCCAAGGTGGAGCCAAATATCATCAAGTATATATGAAGTGTCAAGCTCCTGCACATTCGGGAGATCATTTTGGGGACACATGCCTACTATATAGCAGTCATCTGAATCTGTTCATTTGGGGAAAGGACAGCATAGGTGTAGAACAGAATCGGATGAAATGAATGTCATGTATAATAGAGTCCAATCTGAAAAAAAGAAAAAAAACAAACTGATCCAATTTGACATAGACCTGATAAATTGTGTTGGGACCATTTCATCAAATCAAGGACGAGGACTGCCAACATTACAGTATCCAAAATATCCTTGGTGCTCGGATTGGTTGAAAAAACACAACCATGATGTAAACTAATTGTAATTAAACATCATGTGACTACATGCTGACCAGTCCTGCCACGCAACAAACTTATATCTAGCTACGCCTCTCAATCGTGGCTCCTACAAAGCCTGTCTTGATGAGCAAACCATTTCTCCTCTCTGCCTCCCTTCACCGTGGTCATTCCCAAGCCTTCACTCGATAAACCCGTCGAGCAACTTCTGCTGCTGTCCCACTCGAACATCTCCACCTTCGCCCCGTTGTTGAGGCGCCGCAGGAAAGGGGCCTCGAGAAGAGGCTGAGCTGGAGAACTGGCCAGAAACTCCCTTGAGGAAAAAGTATCCTGATGACCATCTGGGATGTATGAAGCCCTGTAAAAAAGTATGTAACAGTAGGTCGAACATCATCGAATCATCCATCACATCTCAGCTGCTGCAGGATATCTTTCTTGAACACTTATGATCATGCATTCCATGTATGCTGAGTGGAAAAGGCTAAGTAAATACCATATCCAAGTTGCCTAACCATGCCTGTCCCAAGCGCGACTTCCGCACATCATCTGATGTAACCAGGTCACCAACAAAGAAGGTGTTTTTAAGAAAGAACCGTCATGTCGAATCACCTTCGACTCCTCCAGGCTGAAGGAGTCTATCAAATCTGAGATATTCTGCTTAAAAGAACTTGCATACAAAGGCTGTAATTGCTTGTTTGCTTGGCAGGTTGCAAACATGTACGCACCTGCACCGGAGCAGCCCAACATTGATTGGGTGCGGATACAAAGTGAATGCTGTCTGCACTGAGAGCGCTCGATGAAAGTGTCAACAGGCCAACATTGATCATGAATGCTAATTGTTTCGTTACTTGTTCCAGGCTTGTAGAAAGAGCGTCATTTCTCAATACCTATTTGAGAGTAATGATTTCAAGCAGGCGGTACTTAATAGCCATGGACTTTCCGTAACAATGAACTCAAAAGAGTGAAGGCATTCAACAATAGAGCTCCAGTTTCAACATCATGAGCCAGCCATGAGTCTGTTCCTTTAAGTGTGACTCTTGCGGTTTGCCCTAACCGATGAGAAAATAGGGAAGTACGGTATTTATCATACACTTTACACGGATCAACGCTCAACAACGGGGTGGCCACCACGGGTGGCGCACCACACGGGTGGCCAACCCACCCCGCTGCTTGATGCGGCCTCGATGGAGGGCGACGACCGGACTGCTACGAACTTGGCGATGACCCGGTACCTGGGGCGAAGGCGAGGAGTTCGAGTCGAATCGGTCTTCGGTTCCTATGAATCGGTCGGGAGTTAGGGATTCGCAGGTTTCCAGTCAGAAAGGAGTTCGTGCTTGGTGAGGATGTCGCAGTCTATGGGAAGCTACAACTCTTTTGATGAATACATGTGAAATATGAATATATATATATATACCTGCGGAAGCCTAAACGCAGGAATTCCTCCAGCAAATTGATATTCAAATGAATTTGGATTCTGACAGCCAATTGTCGCAGCAGTACGCCAATTTACGGGTCAGTACGGCTTTTCTTGGGGCACAGCTTTTTTGCGCCTTTTGGTTCAAGGTAACCTCATTGCATTTCATGCAAGTGACGAGCGACTAGCCAACCTTCGGGCACGGATCCACAACAACAAAACTTGGGTTAGGTACCTCTCCATTGCCCTTTTGATACGTGCCCTTGGACTAACAACACGGGTCAAGGCACAAAATCTCCCGATGAAATCCTCATCCATCGGGACTGCCTGACTCATTGGGTTTTCGCAAAACTCACCTGACAACTGAATCTGGCCCTTCATGGTTTGAATCACGTGGTAGCACATGTGGAGTTTGGGCATGAGAGCAAACCTGGCCTCTTTCAACTGCCAAGACAAAAAGGCTAGCCTCTTATAGGCCCTCAAAAAGTGCACCCCTGCGGCATGGATACCTGCCCAATCATTTGCACGAATGAACCAGCTCGCTTTGTACAATGATCTCATGAAGTAGTTCATAGCTCTCGACGAAGAGGCCTTGGATGTGCCCACAACACCTTTTCTTTGCCAAACGAACTCACTCAAGAACACACATTGATTACTAAAAACTTCACCTCATGAAGAACAGCAAGCTGCTATCAAACGAATCCTCTCATCACCCGATTCTTGCAAGTCATGGGAGCGACAAAAATGTTCGATGTACTGGCACAGAGTAGTTGTCAAGGCTGCCTTACTCCAGGACCCATGCGTTTCTGCGGATCCAATCCAGCCAACTAGCGCCCGGTCAATCTTGTTCACGTAATTGGTTTTTCCATGTTCCTGATGTCTCCAACAACAATGAAAGGAAGTGCCCCCTCCGGCCCATATTCCAAGCACACACTGGACACTATAGACCATATCAAACATTGCTAGTAACAGCCAAAGTTCCTTGCAATATTCTATATACTGCACTGTAAGGTTTTTGAACCTTGCCTCTATCGAGGAACCAGGGAGCAATTCTTGTAAAATAGCTAGAGAGGATGCAGCAAACGTCTTGCCCAGGCCCAAACTCACCGTGTGGAAGAGGTCAATTTTATGAAACCCTGCTTTTTGATCCGGCTCGTGCATCAAAACTCTGGTGAAAGAAGCCTCATTCGCCCAGGGAATCTCCTCTTCAATCGTGGCGAGGAATGACGGGTTATCTGACCTTACGAAAAACACGGGTTTTATGGGCTGCCTGACATCCAAACAACAAGCATGGTCCATATAGGTTTCACAGTTGCTGTGTTTGGGGGTTCGTATAAAGGTTTACCATATCAAGCAGAGGTACACATCTTCGTACGGGTGCCCTGGCTGCCCTCCCCTGCACAAGTGGCATATGCCAGTGCATGGCCGTGAAGCTTCGGAAGCTTTCGGGACATTCCGGAAGCTGCGCTGAAGTCCAGCGGATGAAACCTGACAGTGGCAATCAGCAAACAGACCGACACAACTAAGAGACAATCACGTGCCCTGTGCACTGTTTCGTTTTGTGCCCAATCGACAAGCAACGAGGTATGGCCAATCTCCCTTGTTTCCAATTGGTATTGGGAAAAGTGTCGTTCCACCAGTCAATGTGACCCCATCACGCGAAGCTTTGTCCAAAGAGTTGACGACTATGTCCAGCAATTCTGTCATGACGCCCGAGTCTTCTCTGTAATCTTCCTCAAATGACAACCAATTGCCTTTGAATAAAACGGTGTAACTGCATAAAACCCTAACACAACAAAGCAACATAGTTTCTTACAACAGGTCAAGGCACCTTAAGCAAGCTTCCCAGCAAAAAGCAGGTTTCAAACGCATGCCCAATAAAGTTCACGTGGTGCTCTGTTTGAACATCCCCACAATCAATGGGCCCCAACTTGCTAGACAGCGTTCCTCTTCCCAGGGGGGAGTGAATAGAAAGACAGAGGCAACCATCTTTCTTGTAGGTGATGCCTTCATCACCGTGAAGGTAAACCGGCACGCACTGCCTCAAAACATCCCGCTTGAGGCCAAACACTTGATGAGATCCATGTAGGACCTCAAACTTCTTCCAGAATTCTTCTAAAGAACCCCCCATCTCTCTGAAAGGTGTTCCGAGTGTGCCAAGCCCAGTAAACCTGTAAAGTTTTCCGGCTTGGTCTAAAGCTTTGATCCACGATCCAACTTCAATGTAGGGGTAACTGTGATCATTGCCCACTTTCCCAAAAGATATGTCCACTGGAAGTCGGAGCCCATGCTTCGCAAAGACTCGAGCTACAATGGTTTCCTCAGCATTCAAGCGGAAGCGCCGTGAAAGGGCGAAATGACATTGCAAGTATGTCGCTCAACAAAAACATCAGGACATGGTTCCGATTTGGATTTTTCTCTACCATAGAGTTCTCGCAAAACAGGGCAGCACCGGGGTTGCATGGATGGATCGCAAATGAACTTCTGTTTCTCTTCCCGCCGGTCATAGTCCACAATAGAAGTTGCACGATCAATGATATCAACGCAAGGAGCCTTAGATCTCACACATGGTAACATGAGCCTAGACCTAGACCTCACACAAACATGAGACAGGGTGAGTGCCATGTCATGTCCGCTGAGTGGCGCCTCTCGAATAGCTCCACGCCAAGTCTTCCGCAGCAGCGGATGGACCTGGCCCGATGCAGGTTGCTGAATTGCAAGGAAGATAGGGCGGGGAGGGAGAAGAGTCAGAGCACACACTCTTTTCCCAACGTTGGCACGCACAGCATGTCAAAGTCTAAGACAAGCAGTGCATGTTCGAAACCTATTTGAGCACACCGTTTCAGGTATGCACCCCGGATTTGGAATCAGGTTCATCCTGAAAAAGAAGATGCAGGCACAGCCCTAGGCCAACTCTGAACTAGAAGCAAATTTGAAAGAAACAAACGTCCACGGGAACACGACAGCCCTCTAAGCTGCACCTGCCAATTTCCTCAAAATGGCAATGCGTGGCAATCCCTGACGCATTTACACAGGAATGAGGATCTTTGAGCGATGCCACTGACACCACAGTTTTTTGAACAACCGCCAAATACAGTAGTACAGGTCGAGGTGCGAGTTGTTTCTCAAGAGTGGCTGCCCAAAGCTCTTCAGAACCTAGGCATCCGCTTTCGCCTTTGTTTTAGCTTTGCCCTTTGCCTTGGGCTTTGCCTTGGCATCCGCCGGGTGAGAGTTACTATCAGCGTTGCGCTTGGCACCTTTGTTCTTCTTCACGTCGGCCAAGAGTAGCCTTGGTTAGTCTTAGTCACCCTTCGAACATGAAATCAAACGCATTAGGAGCGACCATGGGACAACACGAGGTTTCAGGCTGCACAAAACGGCATACGACAAGAGCGATCCATGTTTGCGGACTCTTGCAGTAGAGAAGCTTTTGCCTGGAATCCAATGCAATAAGATCAGCACACCTTTAAGTCAAACAATGTGATTCCATTGCCATTTTTTAACAGCAAAGGCTCGATGCGATGCAAACTATCTACTGACCAAGCTACGGTTTCTTGGCTGACACTTTCACTGCGTCGATCTTTTTGCGTAACCTTGCATGGTGAAAGACTAGTGCATGGGCAACAAAGGGTAACTATGATGTTCAAGTTTGGAAAGGTATCGGCCATCCCAGACAGCCGATCGTGACCATTTTCCTTAGAATGTTCCAATGTGAACTGAACCCACGCGCAAGTTTATACATTCAATCTGCAGACATCAACAGAGGCTCCTAAGATCTTCGAAGCGGTCTCGGAACACAACATTGTAGTGGTCCAGGTGATGTGGCCTGACCAGGGAACCAATGCAAGACTTAAAGGCTATCAGTGTGAGATTGGACTTTCCAAGGAGGTTATGTAGTTTCCTGGGTTCAAGAACTGCCCGCACCTCATGAGGCTTCTTCTTGATGACCTGGCAAGGGTGGGCCTCATCACGCAAGCAGGTCATCTTGGCCAGCAAGTGGGGGCTGGAGCAAGGATCGGGGAAGAAGGAAATGAACTATAGCATTAAGATATTTTAGGCTAAACTGGTTGCAATCCAGGGGCCTTAGAGTTCAAGTAGAAGCAATTGAGAATCTTCCGCGTGAGCACGGCGTAATAGGCCAATCCAAACCCACAGGAGCAAGCAAAATGACATTGCTCCCAGTGTTCACTCCCAATAGTATTACATGCGTGTATACAAAATTGGACATCATGTTGAAAACTAGTGAGCTCCTCAAGGCCAGGCTTGAAGACAATTGGACATATGGAAAAATGGTTTCACAGAGCCGTTCATCCCAGGAAACTCTGCGGTAGCCTCCTGGGCCTCATCGATGGAAAGCTCAGCTTTGAGATCAGCCGCAGCCCTAAACACCGAGTTGAGATTCGTCACGACCTTGTTCACGTCCTTTACCAACCTGAGTAGACCCCGTGTTTTGACTCCAGCGTGTTGCTGTTTAACCACGATGGGTTGTGGTTTACTTGTGACCCTTCGGAACAAAGAAGCTGGGGCCATGGCTCGTCCACAGCTGCTTTCGTTGATTTTTCACCCCCGGATTCAAGCTCAAGTTTTCCACTCATGGCATGGGCCTGCATGATCTTGTTGTGGACCGAGTCCATGAATTTTACCAAGTCGGGCAAAACCTTCACGCAGAAAGTGATCCCCAAAAAATACACAGTGGTAGTCATACAAGTTCACTCGTTCATTGTTGTTTGTTTTTTGCATCATCAAAAGCCTTCGACCCCATTTTCTCAGGCTCCGGTGTGTGTCCCTCTTCAGTGACCGCAGCAAAACCCCCCAGCT